ATCCTCACACGAAATGCCAAAGCAAATACCACCCTTTTATCATATCACTGTGCTTTTATTCCTATATGCAGCTTTCCTTGATTGGCTAGAAGTGGAGAGCTGTCTGCAATATTTTCCATACTGTCAAAAAATTTAAATGCAATTGCTACACTACTCCCCTGGCACTGCTACTACTAGGAATGGTCCTAGAAGTGCTATCAAATATTGCAGTCACAATATCAGTAAGTTCTTGCACCAGTTTCTATTCTCTGCTATACAGAGTTGCTAAGGATCTTGTTTCTTCCAGTTCCTGAATCATTGCCTTTTTACATGTTAATTGACAGAGGCATTTGCATAGATTGTTACAATTTCTAAACTCATGAACAGCAGCAGCTGTTTTTAACTGGTGAAGATAAAACAACTTTATAAGTCACATGCACTAAGGTAAGAGAGACACATGTTGAACCCAGCTAGCTAATGTGCGGATTGCCCTTCATGATTTCCCCTTTATCTTTATTGATTTATGCAAATAAACATTTGCATTTTCAAATTTTGATTATGTTTCATGCAAATTTTCGGCTGTACAGACAACAACAGTGCTAAATTCCCCCCCCCCAATCGATGACTTTCTGAACTCCTCCCTTCCCCAAGAATCTATTTTCCCACATTGTCATTAGTGCCAATATTACAACATAGGAAAGTTGATAGATCAAGCTACAGATGGCTATGAGTAACGTCAGTTTAAAAAAACACTCTATACTTGATAGCGATAAAGAATATTCTTGATGAAAATTGTAAAAAGGAAAAAAAACTGAGACAGAATTCATGTAGTGGCTAAGATTCATAAATTATAGAAAACAGTTTCAATATATGAAAAAGATGTCAATTTGTTCATTAAAATAGAAATGTACAATGAAAAAATATAGTTGTGTGTCTAAAATATTTTTCTAAAAAGTCACATCATGTACGAAATGTATTTTCCATTGCATAGTTGTAGCATTTACTTAAAATGCCGAAAGACTATTTAAAGGAATTTTAAGTTTAAACTTACTATATGACCGGTTTCATTGTCAGAGTAAATTCTCTTATTGAAATGTGGAAATTAATTTTTATTACAAACTGCATTTTTAAATATGGATAATTTACATTTTTAATATCTTATTTCTGTACCATATTTGTATTAAGATGATACACTGAAAAGTGTAAATATATTGCATATATAGCCTTAGGAAACAGTTTCAAGAGCATTTTCTGCTTATAATTTAATTTTTTAGAAATATTTCTAATATCTCAATATATAAAAAACTGATAGATAAAACTGATTGGTATTTCAAAGAAGCATCATGTCTGCTTATGTCAGACACAGATCAAGCCAAATGAAAGGTTAAAAATCAATAATAAATTTCAGCTAATCCCCAAAATTATCTATGCATATAATCCTGCAAAATTTTACTCTGTACCCCCCCTTGATAACATTTCCAACTTTTCTTTTTAAAAACGTAGTTATATAATGATATAATGCTCTCTATGTTCAACATGTTGACGGTAATTGAATACCAATCAAGGATACCATTCATAAGAAGAAATATTTCTTGTTCAGATTATAATCAGTGATTAGTTTGAATCTTTCAAATTTCATAATTATATATTTAAAATTTAAAGATTATCAAAATGTAAATTCTTTCAGTAACTTCAGATTCCGCCTAGTAGTAACTCAAAATCTACAAAAAAAAAAAAAAATGGTTCAGATTTTAAATTATGTCCAAAGCAGGCGTTTTTTTTACATTTTGTGTCCTACCTTTATTTATTTAACACCATGTTCTTTGCATTTAAACCATAGAATTCAGTTCAACAACAATGTTGCAAAATAATTTTTAAATGAGCATATCTTTAGAATTTACGATATACAGTCTCGTGCACTGGAGATAAAAATGTTTTTTTTTTTTTTCGTACAATACTGCAGTACTGGCTTTGAAATCGTTGAGTTTGTTAATCAAAATTCATTCAAGTGTTACAAAATACGAAATCGGTAATAAAGCAAATTTCAAATTCCAAATTCCGATTTCCAGATGCCCATATTCGGTGGAAGATTACGTTATTCAAAATTTGATGGCTCTAGGTACCGTTGCTTTATCACAATGAGATACACACACATATTCATGCAGATTCTTCATTATTTAATTTCTTCAAATATAATACAGGGCAATAGTATTTGGTGGCAATCATTTGAAAAGTGACACAACCTTTCAAAATTTTCAATGCAAAATCGCAAAACGAAAACAACAGTCCTTCAGGGACAAAGCCCCTTTGAACTAAAAAAAAAAAGAGAGAGAGAGAGAGAGGTAGAGAGAGAGAGAGAGAGAGAGAGATAGAAAAAGAAAAAGACGAAAAAAGAAAAAGAAAAGAAAACAACAATGAATTATTGATTGGCTATCAGGAAGGATATATATATATATGTAATACAGCACAATTTTTGGAGGCACTGATATATGACCACTGAGATGTAGAAGCACAGCAATGTTATTTAACATAGACTTGATGCTTAGAGCATCCATCCATTTTGAAGAATAAGCAATTGAGTTGGATTCAATTCCATATTTATTTAAATTCACATTTTTTGGCCACAATTCACTTGGCACTCCAATCGTGCCAATTTCCAGAACAATTTTGATTCTGTGGCAATGAAAGTGAACAGAGATGATAGCAGAAGAATCTTAACAGGATGAAAGCATAAGCGAAAAGAGAGTGTGTGTCGCAGTAGTAATGCAGAGGAAGAAGAGAGGGAGTCAAAACCTTTCAGTTCCAGTAAGTTTCAGTTTACATATTACTTTGATTGGACAAGAGGCATCTGCATTAAGTGTTATGTAAGATTGCATGATTAATTTGAATGATGCAGTTTAGACTTAGTTTAGCCCTATTTTGGGGACACAAAGATGAAGTCCCCAAATTACATAAGAAATAAAAAGTTATAGACAATTAAATTTAGAAGTTTTCTTTCATATTTTTTATCTTACAAATATATGTAAAATATGAAAAATACTATGGCTTTGCTCTACACGAACAGGCAACCTCCAATTAACTTTCCACAACTTCAGAATCTTCCCCCTATAACAGTACTTTTGAGAACATTCTGGCATGTTATGTAACCGCTGCTATAAATGAAGAGTTCGTGCCATTTTCCATCAGATTACTTTTCTCTGCCTGCCCCTGTAAAACCTTTCGCTTCCGCTCCTCCCATCTGTCTTCTTTGTATGATGCAGTAAACTTAAAGTTAATCGCATTTTAGCCTAAACTATTATCGCATATGTAACCTTGAGGAATCTAAAAGAACAATGATTTACCATTTGAAATGAATAAACATATGAAACTAAAACAGTTAACATCTTCTGTATCATCATTTCATGCCAAGTTTTATGTGTGTGCCCAACTGCTAAACTATGACATATATTAATTCAAACAACAAAAATCAGCATTATATTTTCAAATTTTCACAGGACTAGTTTCGAAGGTTTTACCAAACCACCATCGTCAGCTGCAAAAGCACAAATGAAGGAGATAGGATATAATGATCAGATAAGATAAGAAAGCCTGGACTAAAAATGAGCTAGTGGTGCCATCTGTTGATGAAACCAGAACGTTCTTGATCGCTCTGGTTTTTGTTGTTTGACTTCTGAATTAGTATTTGTTCGGCGTTTTATTGTGTCTTAATTATGACATATATATTAGGGTTGTTCAAATGAAAAGTTACAAAATGACACTATGGATATATTGAAGTCTTTATTCATAAGTAATCACCAAAGGCCTGAGCACAACTATCCCACTGTTTCATGAGCCAAACGATTTCCTCCTCCCAGAATTCCTGTGACTGTGACAGAAACCAGTCCTCCACTGTGTCCTTCAGTTCGTCGTCCAAGTTGCAGGGCTTCCCTTTGAGATGTCACTTCTCACCAGGTCATTTACCTTGATGATAGTTTTGACCAGTATTACTGTGTTTGCCTAGCCTGGTGTTAAGTGATCACTCAAACACTCCAGGCCTTCATGAAAACTGGCACTCAACTTCTCACTGACTTGCCGGACACAAAGTCTCCATTGTATAAGGCCACCATCCAGCGATGAATATCGGGCAGTCTAACCGCTTCCACAGTCAGAAATCTGATAACACCTCCCTGATCTTCAATCACCAAATTTTGCAATGTAAATACCATGATGTCCTCAAACTTACTGCCGTATCAATTGGACAGAACACACAGCTGCTTACTTCACGGCTGCATCATGTGTGGGCGCCCACGCATGCGCACAACCGTTACAAACACTACATTCGTGTCCTTATGCCAAAAGCGGCATATTCAAATGTCAAAGAGTTTATATTTTACAACGTTTTGTACCTTTTCATTTGAATGCCCCCATATGTGTGTGTGTATGTGTAACTGAAGTATTAAATTAATTTGAATTTTCAATAATTTTAAGACAAAATTATAACCTTATTATTATCAATATAAAAACTTTATAAAGTTTATTACTTTATATTCGGTACAAAATGCAAGGTACAAAAAAAACTAAATTCCTGATAATATCAGCCATATGAAACTACCTGCAACATTTGTTTAATCTATCAGTTTACCTAAGATTTTCTGCAGATTCAAGCAATTAAACTTATACTGTAAAATAGGAAAAATGATAATTTTCAATAAAATTCTTAAAATATATTTCAGCTTCTGCCATCTGCTCATTATGCATAATGAGCAACATTAAACCAACACTATTTTAAGTGTTTCATAGGCACTGATAGACACACAGAATTTTTAATCCAAGTAAAATTCAGAATGATAACAGATATAAATTACACTGATATTCACACCATTATGCTAAATAATCAAAATATCCTCTTCAAGCATTGGTAATTTCCAGGTATATGACAAGGTAAAGTCTGATTAGTATCCATGATACTAATGATAAAATGATTTGATGACTAATTCCTGCTTTGGAATATGAAGTGTTTTTTCTAACTGAAATATATTTACCTTCTGCATCAAAAAATTCATCTGAGCTGGTATCTGAATCCCGTACAATACTTTCCATCCTCCAGTTAGCCAACTGCAGATCAAAACTGGCATTTGAACTACCACCTGCAATTACACATTAAATAAAAATTATCTCAATAATCTTAACACTTCAAATTTGAATATAATAAAACAATGTTACAAGAAATACATGCAATTTAACAATAATTCTTTCCACTGTTAGCATTAATACCATGCTGGACCTTGTATTTTCAGCGATTATTATTCCCTACCAGGCAGCTCAATAAAATTTTGATAAAAAGCAAAAAATTAACATTTTATGTAGAATTATTGTATGCAACATTGTTCGAATCAGGGCAACTATAATACCAACTCCCAGTGATGTCAGCAAGGTCATATAATGGGCACGTTGTTGAGGTTATCACATCCATATGACAGAGATATTTTTGTAAATAGTCATGACCAGTATTTTTTATTAATGTGAAATTATAACTTACACATGGAAAATTTAACCCATTCCAAACTTAATAAAAATATTATTTATTAAGTCTTTTCATATTTTAAATTATGAAATTTTTAACTTTAACCAATTATTATTATTATACTAATATATTAACTAGCTCTTCACATAGTTTTGCACAGTGCTATCAGCAGGACCTAAGGATAATCAAAGATTCTGAGTCCCAGTGCAGTCTCTGTGTCGCCTAAATTCTGCCACCTGGTGTCTTTCTAAATCCTGAACACTCTACTGGCCCTTGCTATCAGAAGTATACACTGAAATAATTATTATGTTTCATAGTTTTTATAATAATGGAGCAATTTGATGTAAATTATTATTTTTAAAGTATTTTAAATCTTTGATGTTGGTTTTATAAAAACATTCTATGCATGTCTATAAAACCATAATAAAATTTCTTTTAGACTGATGCTAGTTTTGCATATAACAATATAACAGTGATTGTTGATGGAATCAAGGAGACTGATGGCTGTTCCTTTTTTTTAAAATTTTTCTGTTCCATTTGCCAGAAATGCATTATTCAAACATATAAATAAAATAAAATAAAAAACCCACTAAAACTAACATTAGCTGTCAGACAAAATAAAAACAGAAGGTTTAAAAAATTAAAATATACCTATTGCCATCTACCAGTTGAGGCAATTTTGAATTGAAAATTATTAATTGGTCAAACTCGGTAACATAGATGGCAAAACAAATCAAAAAGAATTTCCTTTGGCTATTCAGTATGAGACATAAATATTAACATTGCACTTTCAGTAAATTCTCTATAAAAATGCATCTTTTTCAAGAAGAAAGTCGTATATTTTATCAGCGATGCAGTAAACCAAGCAATAATATTTAATTTACATAAAGTCATACTGGGAGCTATTTATTTAATTTTCTACAATTAAATTAAAAATGTAAGCATTCCACATATAATAGAACTACATTTACCAAAATAAAGGAACTAGCATTCTAAAATTATTGTTTAATGAAATCAATAACTTACTAGGAGAGCAAAGAGCTGTCCTAGAGCCACTCCTAGACCAAAGTTTTTGTCTTCCATCTTCTGCAATGATATCTTCATTTATATTAGCCACTGAGAGATTTCGTGGCTTTCGAGCTCTATTAGGAGATGGGCTCCCATCCAATCGTACACAAGATTCATTATCTTTATCTTTGTCAATTGCAGTTAAATCAACTTCCTGTCCTGAAAGGGCAGAAGGACTAGGATGTACAGATGGTGGCTGCTCTTCATCGTTGTTCATCTTTTTTGCAAGAGCTTCTTGAGTTTCTCTTTCCAATCGTCGAATGTCCTCCATAGTGAGACCCACCCACTCATCTTGCCAAGCCCATGCCTGTCTGTGAGCACGCAGCATAGTTTTTCTCAGTGCTGCAAATTAATGTAGGAAAATTTAAGAAAATTCAACAAATCAAGAACTAAGTTTATATTTATATAAAAAATTGCGACTGTAAACCATTTTTCATTTTGCAATTTCGTCTACAGCTTCAGATTCGGATACTTTAAAAATGTAAATTCAAAAAGTAATCAGTTGGGAAAGATTTAATATCTCTGTTTAAAAACATTAGGTTTATTTTTAATAATATAAGTTATAAATTTTAAAAATTAAATCAAATTTCACTCTAACTACATAAGAGTCACTTCAGTTCACTTGTTTATTATATTGAACTAAAATAATAATAAAATTTATGTGCTTCATATCTAACAATCTTACAAAGAAAGCACTTTCTAATAAAACCATACACAATATCAGCAATATCAGTTTCACAATAAGCATCCCACTGGAAAGCAAATATTAGATACTCCCCCAAGTATTCTTAACTGCAAATTAAAATCCAGTTCCTTTCCTTGAAAACACTAATTGAGGAAGCAGAATGGAAAGGGACAATTTTTGAGGGTAAGAGGACAAGGCATTCTGTGATTGGTAAAGTTCTGTTATCAGGACTGTAAAAATTCACCCAACCACTGTTAATGCCAATGATGCCAAAAATAATTATAACTCTATCACAAGGAAGCATAATAGTAAATAACTATCTAATGAGTATTATTTTAATTTATATGGACGATTTATTAGATATATTACATTTTTATTACAATCCATAAAAAAATAATAAAATAGCTAAGTATAATTGATATTACATAAATTTTTTTATTCCTTCCAAAACTGGAGGGGGATTTTTTTTGGGGGGGGGTGTTTGTGTAAATAGCTCCACATCATTTTGGGTAAATAGGAATCTAGGTGCTATCTAGCAGTGTTCCCATGGTGTTTTTTACACCATACAGCATTATGCCCACAGATGCTCTATTGTTTATATGTAATACTCAATTCCAGGGTATACAAATTACAATTTGTAGTTAACAATAAAATATCCACAGATGTCATCTCACAATTCATCTGACTTATAAGCTTTTCAACGCTCAGCATAAATAATGCTTCCTTTGGTGATATTTTGCTTTAAGAAATTCAATAAAATTTGAACTTGATTTGGATTCAATTGATTTGGAACAGTGACCAAAAAAAAATTTATTTGATTCTCTGCACAATTTACTGAAAATCTGTTGTGGCCAGAGAACATGCTTCATGTAGTTCTTTCTTCAAGTTAAAGGTTTACGTCGAGTTCAATAATTTTGTCAACTCCATCATTTAATGTAAGCTGAACAATTAAATGTTTAGCATACACTTCACACATGTAACTGTTCCTGCCTACAGTTGTATTGTGGTCCATCTTCATTTGGAGTTCACAAAACTCAACAGATACCATCTCTTGACACCGAAATTAGATGAAACTCACATCTGTGAGAAGGGTCCTTTGAGCCAGTTTTGTGTTCTTAATTCTTTCTTCTCATTAAAGGATTCTTTCCTGCAGTGCCATTTCGCTGTTATCGATAAAATACAATATCATCTCATGGTTCTTTAAACATAATTTCCTATCAGGAATGATGCCTTTTCTTTGAAAAAATTCTATTCAAGATTTTAGATCCTTGAGAAATTAACAAATTGTTGGATCCATAGCATTATCAAAAATTTAAAAATTAAATCAGTATTTCAATGGTGACTTGAAAATCAAGTCACCATTGAATCAAGTCACCATTTATGCACAGGCTTAATTCTGTAATTTAGAGAAATCTAAACTTACTCACAAATTGACAATTACATGTGTGCTTTGCTAAATTTGGTGTTTTTGCACATTTAATTTCGCTTTAGTTCCATATGATTCTCATAACAGAATTGTATTGTATGATTTACACATGACTAATCAGAAATTCAAAAGTCCAGACATGTATTATCAGAAAATGGACTATCAGGAAAGTTCAGAAGCTGCCCACAGATAATCAGCAGTTTATGTATCGCAAAACAAAATGCATCACAAGATCTATAGAAAATACACTTTTCAATTCATATTAAAAGTCTATGGAAAGCAATTTTTACATAAAAGTAATTCTTTATTTAGTGATTTTTAGAATGGAAGATTTACAGGATATGATTTTTTCTCTTTTGTTTCTCTTTACTTTTTCACATTTATGCCTTCAGTTTGTACTCTTATTAAAAAAACAGTAATTCACTAAATACAATTTAATAAACATAAAAAAAAAGATCTGTGTTACAATGAGAAAGTTATAACACACAGATCACGAAATAATGCAAACATTCATTAAACATATATGGAAAACATTTGCTAAGTGTGAGTGTGCATGTATACATGTACACTGTGCTCCATTTTAGTTTTCTACGCAGTAAGTAGTCATGTATACATTCAGTAGAATATCTCCTGTTCTACTGGGTTGATTGACGAAATTCAACTTGTGTTTTTCATGTCTTGAAAGCACGACTTAGAATATGTATTAGATTTATACATAGCATTGTTCTAATATAGATATTTTGACACAAAATCTGGCTTTTTCTGAAATGACATGTCGATTTTTTTTCCATATTTCGATTCTACGACTCAAAATATGCCAAACTGCTAAGTTTTGAAAAAAATCGCACGAGCAGTTTTAAAAAAATTAGCTCTCAAAATTTCAGCTCCTCTATGTTATTTGAATTTTGTATATGTTTACTAATATCTTTTTTTTTTAATCAAATTTATTTGGTTCTTCCTTTCACATTTCGAAATTTTGGTTCATTCCGAATAAAATTCGCCCATGTTTTACAATTTAATTTTAAAATTTGTATTTTTAAATAATTTTTATAAACTTTTTGAAAAAAAAATTTGAATTATAACCTATAAAATTTTTACCATTATCTTAAAGCAGATGTATTTCTAAGCATACCTGCAAAAAATGAGAGTTTTTTTATTCAAAATTTCCTAGGATATATGTGAATTTACACATTGGCACGTTTTGAATTTTGGCATATTTGAGACTTAAATTTCTCACTAAAATTTATATCTAGGCATAATTTGAGTTGTAGTATCGAAATATGGTAGTAGTAGTAGTAGTAGTTTTATGGCGCAAAGCTCAATAGGCCATATGCGCCAAACACAGGATTCTTTTTTTTAACATACAAACTAAAGGAACAAAAAATATAAAGACAACAGCACACTTTTAAAATCGAGGCAAGTAAAAAGATATTTAAATGATGGGATGGAAAATGCTGATTATAACTTTGATAATGAGAGATGCAGTATAGATATATAATCCTAAAACATCTGATTAATTAAAATTCCAACATAAAATCTCAGGACAAAAATCAAATTAAATAATAGAAACCTGTTTCCTTGAGGTAGTGAAACAAATTATATTGACCTCTCTTCCGATTAAACGGTCGAGAGGCAGGTCGCAGCTATTAAAATACTTCTCACGAAGATTATTAAAATATGAACATTCAATTAAAATGTGATAAACTGAAAGACAAACATTACAAGTTGCACAAATAGGCTCGTTCTCAGCTTTCAGAAGGTAGTTATGTGTCACTCTACTGTGACCAATTCTAAGGCGAGTCAAAAGAACTTCCTCGCTGCGATTGCTAGTAGTATCCCAATGCTCTATTTTAGGCTTCACCCTTCTCAACTTGTTATGAAGTTGAAGGTCCCAAAGTTGCTGCCATTTCTTTCGGATCTTCTCTTTTATGACACAACGGATATCTTTAAAAGGGATGAGGCGGCCGGACATTTCAACAGCAGATTTCGCTGCGATATCAGCCAGCTCATTGCCCTTTATTCCTGTATGTCCGGGGACCCAGCAGTACAGAAGTTCAAATCCACGACATTTCAATTTAATATTCAACTTGAGAACATCCACTATCACAGGATTCTCAGTGCTAGAAAAGGATTCTAAAGCTTTCAATGCACTGTAGGAATCCGTATATACAATGAATTTTCGATGGTGCAGCGTTGAGATGTACAAAAGCGCATAATATATGGCAGTCAGTTCGGAGGTTAAGACAGAGGAAGCGTCGTGTAAACGTCTGCCTTCCATGTGGTCACCAATTATACAATGACATGCCAACATGGCAAGCTGACTTAGAGCCATCCGTATATATGGGAAACATAACTCCTGTAACTCTGCCTGTGATCAGCAAAAATTTGTCTGTAGATGATCTCATCAGTAGTTGTTTTTCCGTATTTGTGGAAAATGTCAAGAAGGTGGATTAGTGCATTTTCCCAAGGTGCAATTTCAAAATGCTGTACTGCCTTGTGGGGAAATATCAGACAGGGAGAATTCTTCAATGAGGGACGAACTCTAACAGGAAAATGAAGGCACACAGGATGGACGTGCCTTCAAATAAAGGTCACAGCTATTTTCACATATACACAAGTTATAAGGATGGTTCAGGTTGAGATAAAAATATTAAAATATTGCGTAAAAGAGACAACTCCTCACGCCTCAAAACGGAGTGATGGCTCGTGACAGTCAACATAAAGGCTCTGCACAGGAGAAGTCCTGAAGGCTCCAGAACAAATCCGCAGAGCCTTGATGATGAACAGGATCTAGTTTTAACAACACTGAAGACCGGGCAGGATCCGTAAACAACTGAGCCGTAGTCCAGTTTAGAGCGAATTAGAGCTCTGTAAATGCAAAGCATGGAGCAACGCTCTGCACCCCAGGAGGTGTTCGCCAGGACTTTTAAGATATTTAGAACTTTGGTACACTTTTTTCTCAAGGTTTAAGACATGAGGAAGGAAAGTCAATTTTTCGGTCGAACGTCACCCTAAAAATTTTACTTCAGGTGCAACTGGAATTACAGACCCATTGAGGTATAATTCAGGCTTCAGGATGGAGACCTCGCTTCCTTTACAAAAGTGCACGCACACAGTCTTTCTGTTTCGAAAACGTAAATCCTTGTCTTTTTGCCCATTCTGGATCCTGTTCAAAGCGATCTGGAGCTGTCCTCTCTACATGTCTCATGTCTGCACCTCTACAGCTAATTTGCAGATCATCAACATATAAAGAACCTGAAATGGTGGGAGGAAGTTGTTTTAATACAGAATTTATTTTTAGGCTGAAAAGGGTTACACTGAGCACACAGCCTTGAGGCACACCCTCTTCTTGTTCAAAAACATCAGACAAAACAGAGCCATCCTTACTTGAAAAGTTCTAGCTGTCAGGAAATTCTGAATGAAATTTGGTAGGTTGCCGCGCAAGCCACTCTCGTGAAGATCGCGAATATATACCGTATCTCCATGCCTTATCATAGGCTTTCTCTATATCGAAGAAAATTGAGACAAGGTGATTTCTTCTTACAAAAGCTTTTCGAATGGATGTCTCTAAGAGGAGCATATTATCTACGGTTGTTCTCCCCTTTCGAAAACCACTTTGATAAGGCGATATAATATATTCTTTTCCAAGAAGTAGACTAGGCGGCTGTTTACCATCTTTTCAAACAGTTTGCAAACACAGCTGGTAAGGGCAATTGGCCGATAGTTCGAGGGATTCCTCGGGTCTTTCCCTGGCTTCGCAATAGGAATGACAATAGCTCTCCTCCATGCACTGGGAAATGTACGCTCCTTCCACACTCTATTGTAAAGTGTGAGAAGGGCACTCAGTGACTTACAGGACAGATGCTTTAGCATTTCATAATACACGCCATCCAGACCCGGACAAGACCTATGTGTCTGCAACAAAGCTCTCTTTAGTTCAACCATAGTAAAGTCTCTATTGTACGGCTCAAAGTTGGAAGAGTTGAAAGCGATGGGATTTTTCTCAGAGCGTTGCTTGATAGAAAGAAATGCAGGTGAGTAATTTCGGCTGGAAGAAACGGCAGCAAATGTCTCACCAATTGTATTTGCAATTTCTTCTATGGAGCTAATCACTCGGCCATCTTTTTCCAGAAAGGAAAGTGAGTGGTCTTTTACGGCGACGATTCCGCATGCTTTTCGAACTCTTTCCCAAACCCGCTTACTAGGCGTAGAGGATGTTATTGAGGACACATATGAAATCCAGGAATCCCTCTGGCTCTGCCTTCTTACTTTCCGTGCATTTGCTTTGGCTCTTTTAAAAGCTATGAGGTTTCGCAGAGTAGGATATCTACGAAAAATACCCCATGCTTTTTTCTGTTTTTTCAGTGCTTCATGACAGTCGCGATTCCACCACGGTTTTCGAATATTTTAGTGTTTTTCCTGATGTTCTAGGAATCGAAAGCATAGCTGCCTGAATAATAGTATTAGTAACAGCTTCAACAGCGTCATCGATATGCACACCTTCTACCATTTCCTCTGTCAGCTCTGCAACGGAAGAGAAGAGTTCCCAGTCTGCCCTGTCCAGGATAAAACGAGGGACTCTCGACACGGGGGGTTTGCTCCTCTTCGTGCAAGAGAGACACAAAAATAGGATAATGATCGCTGTTGTACAGGTCATTTCCGACACTAAAAGTGCAAAATGGCAACAGAGATGGTGAACAGATGGCAAGATCGAGAGCGTGGATGGAATGTCCTTGAAGGCTCATGGAAGTACGTATCTTGCCCATTATTTAGGAGACAAAGGCTATGATCTTCGATCATCTGCTCTATTTGTCTTCCTCGGCAATTTGTATCTTTACTTCCCCAGAGTGGACTATGGCCGTTAAAATCTCCTATTATGATAAAAGGCTCAGGCAGCTGCTCTATTAAGATTATTTAAATCTTGCTGATAAATGTGCTCATTTGGAGGCAAATACAAAGAAACAAATGAAACAATAATATCAAAATTTATTTGAGTAGCGACAACTTGGAGGGATGTCGTCAAAGGAAGTACATTTGAGGGATAATCCAGTGAGGAGAGGAGACCTACACCTCCACTGGCACGCTCACCTGCAAGTTATCCTTTCCTGACGAAAGAAAACCTCCGAAGTTTTGCATGGTGTTCGGGTTTCAGATTTGTTTCCTGTATTGCTAAGCACACAGGATGATACACATTTATTATAGATTTGATGTCAAGCAAATTTCGGTGGAAACCGCGACAGTTCCATGACATGAGGGTGGCCATTATGAATGGTTTTTGTTTTTCTGTGCTGTTCTTTTGTTTTTCGTGGAAGTAGATGCCTGGGAACTTCTAGACCCTCTTCTACTTCCATAAAGTCTGAATCCGCAGATTCAGAAATCATCTCATCAAAAGAGCTATTGCTGTGACTTCTATTTTTATTGGATATTTTATGTGTAGAAGTTTTGGGCTTACTTTGAATAACTGTTTCTTTCTTTTGTACTATATGGGTTGCATTTTCTTTTTGCTTGTTGGATGTAGACGGATGGGTTTTATTTGCTAGGGTCTGTGTGCCTATTGATGTTTGGGTGGCGACTGTACGAGATGATTTTACAGCACTGGCGTATGATGTATTTGGTCGAAGCTGTGTGCTCTGGACTAATCTTCTGGCTTCGGCATATGAGATGTTCCTCCTAAACTTTGCAGTCTGCACTTCTTTTTCCAATTTCCATTTTGGGCAGAGGCGAGAAAATGCTGGGTGCTCACCCTTGCAATTTATACAAAGAGGCGCAGCGGTACAATTTTCAGAATCGTGGCCAATCTGTGAGCATCGGGCGCATGTAAGGCTGCCACGACAAGACGTCTTAGAATGGCCGAAACGCTGGCATTGGAAACATCGCATAGGGTTTGGAATATAAGGTCTTACAGGAATATTTAGATATCCGGCCTTAATATTCTTAGGCAGATCAGGCGTGTTGAAGGTAAGGATCACGTGTTTCGTGTCTATCAACTTACCTTCTTTACGCATCTTGATCCGCCTTACACCGCAGACATTTTGTTCGGAGAGCTCAGAAGCGATCTCTTCTTCAGAAACATACAGAAGGTCGAATTCTGAGATTACACCCCGACAATAGTTGAGTGACTTATGTGGTGTTACAGTCACATTCGCTTGCCCAAGTTTAGTTATCTGAAGTAAAGAAGCAGACTGGGTGGCTGAGGTTGTATCAATAAGCAAGTCTCCGGAGCGGAGACGCTTTATATTTCTCGGCTCACCAATACAGGACTGGATGTATTTGTTTATTACGAAAGGAGACATCTTATGCATTTCGCCAGAAGGACTAGAGATGACTAGGAAACGGGGAATATTGTTATGATTTTTTCATTTGTATCTGTACGTAATTTTTTTGCAGTAGACTTTTCAGAAGTAGGTTGAGTGAGTGGTTTAGCAGTAGACGTTTCAGAAATAGGTTGAATGACTGGTTTACAGTAGATGTTTCAGAACTAGGTTGAGTGACTGGTTTAGGAGTAGAAGTTTCAGAACTAGGTGAGTGACAGGAGTGATTTGAGTGACTTGAGTGACAGGATTGACTTGAGTGACTGGAGTTACCTCGAAAATCTTTTATTAAGTAAATATGAGAAGCCATAGTGAAAGAATAAAGATTCGGGTCCGACGGCCCCGCCCCCACCACGGAGCCCAACAAGGGAACACAGATTCCTGTGTTAGGGCTAGCCGGACCTATACGCAAACTGAAGCCCCCACGTCGGCTTTCCCGAAAGCAGGTACTCCCGAGAGCTTGACCCCAAGCCACTGACACAAGGACTAGTGACCAGCCGATTGACACCCGTGAGGACGACTAAGGTGCCTCCCGTTTAGCTGAAGCAGAGGCCAAAGCAGTGTGTTGGGGACAGTACCTCGCCCCTCAACTACCAGGACCCTCCTTTCCAGCGACACGGGTCTCCACGCACGGCAAACACGTGGGCAGTTTTCTCCCCTCTTGAAAACTAGAAACAAGGTCTGTTCCAGCCTCTCGTGACGAGCCCCAAACTCCGTAGAGAGAAACCACAAGGGAGAAGGGAAGGGAAAAAGATCCAGCCAAGAGGAGAGGAGACGGAAAAGAGGATAGATCACTGGGGCTCCAGGATCGTGACACCCGTCTCACCAAGAAGATGATCCCCTGAAGGGCTAGGGTACCTCGGGATTGCCACACCCGTACTCACAAAAGTGAGCCCCCTGAGGGAGTATCGAAATATGGAAAAAACCGGCATGTCATTTCAGAAAAAGTCTGAATTTATGTCAAAATACCTATATTAGAACAATGCTATATATAAATCTAATATTGCTTGACTGCCTAAGTTGTGCTTTCGAGACCTGAAAAACATAATTTGAACTTTTTCAATCAACCCAGTAGCATGGGAGATATAAAAATGTCTCTCTCTCTCTCTCTCTCTCTCTCTTTTTTTTTTTTTTTTTTTGTATTATTATAACTGATAGACACTATTAATTTCATTTTACATCCATGTTAAGGCAAATAATGTGATTTTAACTTGCTTAATATTTTATATAACTACACAGATAATTAAAAATATAAGTTAAGAATGGAACATCCACAATTTTTAAATGCTCACCAACATCATGAATAAACTTTTCAATTTTTGTCTGCATGCCCCAATACCTAAATTCAACACGACATAGTTTATAGGCACACATCACAGCTTTTCCTTCTGGAATGTTATCATTACGATATTCTTCAATCCAGTCATCATTAAGTGGTCCTCGACTGGTTTTAGATGACACAAAAAGCTTAGGATCTTCTTCCTGTACATAATCTGATCCGTACAACTGATCTTTCACAACATCAATCAAATCTAAAGAAAAATTAGATTTTTGAATTTAAGTAACAAGACCCATTTACTTGCTAAAAATGAAAATGAGAAATAAACAAAAAATCAAACGAGTACAGAAATTTTAATAAAATAATAATGAATATCATAAATTATCTAAATATGTATTAAATATAGTATATATAATTGGTAAAAATATTTTCTGAAGCAAAACCTAATCATATCAGCAAAATCTGTGAAGTTAATATGTTCAACTGAAGATTGTAGGTTCAATTATGCTGAAATGCATTTAGGTAAGTACTAATATTAGCTTAAACTACTGCTTAAGGCAGGACATAACTTGTTTTCGCACTAAATTAATTTAAAATCATACAACATATATATATAACAATATTTGGTATTTATAAAAAAATACCGCACTTTAAAAACATATAAATGCATATCAAGGAAACCATTCAAATATTTCATATTTTGTCATGAACATTAAAGCATTCTACCTTAAAAGTTAAGCCTGATGGCATAAGGCAACTAGTTGGATATGTAAATAATTAATACTCATGTAAGTAAATTTTTAAGTTAAATTTCATTTTCTGCTTGATTTCATCGTGAAGTACAATACAATCCCTGTTAACCTTTTATTATTTTCAACTGTTAATTCAGGTATGCAAAATAAATTTAATCAAACTCTTGCCTTCATTATGAGGGGGATTTATTTCGGGTTTGGTTCCCTTTGTCAATATTTACATTGCAAGTACTAACAAGCAAAATGCACATGCATTAGAAGTGATAGTTTAGCTGAAAGTTAAACAAAAAGTATATTAAAACCATAGCTAATGTATCTTAATCACTGTTGAATACGCTATCAATAATATAAAATCTCCTTACTTACTTTTTCCTGAAATAGGTAAGGTAAACTTACCTATTTCAACATTATTTTTGTAATCTAAGGTATGAATAAAAAGTTGAAGGTTGGTACAATAAAATAGAAGTATAGAAACAACTTGAACCTCGCATATTAATGGCAAAGAAGATAACATCAATAAACAAATTGTAGTTATTCTGCAGAGAACATAACTTCATTTAAAACACTGTGATTTACAATCACCTGCCATTCATTTAACATAAGGAAGAGTCTGCAAGAGAGTACATGAATTTATCACACAATAGAAAAGTTGGTAGCACCTGAAAGCACCAAATTTTGAACACGCATAATCCTACACCTAAATGTATGCACTTTCAAAATGTATGAATTTTAAATTCTGAATTTTTTATTGATATGTTTTGTGTGAATTTAATGAATGTTTTATATATTTATATACATAGAGAAATTTTTTTCATTCACAATTTCAAATTTGATATCATAAACTGCTTAAGTGTTTCTTTTTCAAATAAAATGTGTTCCATCTCAGTATTTTAAAAATTGTATTTTTTGAATTTTAGAAAAGAGATAAAAAAAATCAAAAAAAATGAAAAAAAATTTTTAAATCATCAATTATAAAAACTATATATATGGAGGAAAATACATATATAATATATATTAATATATAATTACACATATATAATTATTAATATATAATTATACATATACATATATAATTAATGTGGAAACATTTCTAACTCCAATAACCTCCAGTTTTCACCTTTATATTGTAAAAACTGGATTTTTGAAATAAAGGCACTCAAGGTCCATTTTAATGAATTCTTCACTTTGGCAGAATGCCAGTCTTACCTCAAGTGCTATTAAAACTGATAAAATGAAAATGTTTGAAGAAACATGATGAAAATATTTGAAATGAAAAGAAAGTTATGTTTGAAGTACAGATGTGATGCACTTTTATACTCTTAGTTAATGTTCGGACTCCTATCCTATCCTAACCACTTCATCGCCAGGTTTGACGACTATTTTTGGGGTTCACTCTACCAATGTCATATCAGAAACAGCAAGAACATTTTTTGGTTACCTCATATAATTGTAATTGTAGTAAATAGAATGTTCAGATCTGAATTGTAATGTCGCAAAAATATGTCTTGAACTCTGTTTCATTTTTTTTTTTTTTTAAAATATGAAATTTTTACGCGATATGTGTTTCTTTTTCTTAATCTAAATGAAATAATATTTAACATGTAATAACAGCCTAAAACCCACAAAAGAAGTGCTCTTTATAATTTTGCTGAAGACATTCCGGAAAATGATTCCAGTTTATTTCCCACAAACATATTTTCTTCACATGTATCTTTTAATATATAATAATTTTACACTAAAATTGATTTATTAGCTTTATTGTCTTGAACGTTGATCTGTGAAACATTCTTCCAGTTACAGAGTTTTTCAGAATAATTCGAAGACAGCTATAAGAAGGGATAGTTTTGATAAAATAAATTTAACTTTTTCTATAGCTTCCATACAGGAAAAAATACCAAACAGCAAAATATTATTCATTAGTCTGTTAAAAACATCTTGTTTGTATTTTTTCTTTTTTATATTTAAAGGCCCTTGGTTCTTTATTTTCATTTGCTTTGCCTTGGCCTTTTCAATATTATCCAAATATCTCTCAGAATCTAATCCATTACTGGAAGAGGATGATAGAGACTCAAATGCAATGTCTGCAGTTTGATTGTCCTGATTTAATACTCTAATTGTTCTGAGAATAATTTCATTCTTCATAGCTGGCTTTCTTTGACTTTTTAATTTGTTTGTCATCCAACAAAATTTGGTGTTTTGGATCTGCATATGTTGAATCCAGCAAGATCTCATTGTCTAGCAAACTACTTTCTTTTTTCTTCATTGAAGAAATAATTTCTTCTTCAATAAGCCCTCCACTTCAGAAAAGAACAAACATCACATTCTTCCATTCTTGCCTCCTATTAATTCTTCAGATTGTACTTTTTTGTGGCTCTATATGCTGCAGAAAGAAAAGTTTCCAATTCTACAAGATCATTCCAGAGACTTTCTGTTAGTGATACATTAAGGTTACCTACATCGTCTAAAAAAGGTCTTAATGCTAACAACCTCTATATCATCAAATATGTACTTCTCCATCATGTAGCTTGATCAATAATTGCTCCTTTTCCTGCTAGCTTCCTAGGAATGGCATCAATTTTGGAAGTTCTTGCTGCTATTGCTGCTTACCTAAATTTACCAATGAGATTTATAACTAAATGTGTAGAGACATTAGATTAATTGGAAACGCTGGAGAGATAACAAATTAGCAACCGCCTTTGCCAGGAATCGAACGACGGACCTCTGAAATACCACCTCAGCATGCAGACCACTACAACACGAAGGCTTGCCAAGAAGGTGGGAGAAATACCTTATAAATGAAGTAACTATATGAATCAGTTTAATCAATAATGGCAAATATCACATCTATCCTCCTCCCTTCCTGAGAAAATCAAAGCTATTTATGACTGGTGTCATCCTCAAAACATTCGTCAGTTAAGAAGCTTTCTCAGCCTCTGCAGTTACTATCAAAGATCTGTCAAAAATTTCTCTAAAAGGGCTTTATATCATCTTTAAGTCTTTATATCATCTAAGAGAAGCAAAGTAAAAGTTTTCATGGACAAGAACATGAAGAAATTTTAAAGCCCTGAAGGACACTATGACTTCCATTTCTGTGTTTGCTTATCATCAACCTGAATATGACTTTATTCTCAATAGAGTTGCTCTTTCATAAGAAATTGACAGTCAGATGCATGCCACTACCTATTTTAGTCTCTCAAAACCAGAAAGAAATTACAGTATCACCTGAAAAGAGTTGTTAACCATCTTACATAAAACATCGTAAAGGCATTGGAACAGTTCTAGCACTACGGCCACAAAATCCTATTGCACACCATCATGCCTTTAAGTAGGCTGCTTAATTTTAAAAATCTAGAACATCAAGTGGCTAGACAGCTACAGCAGATATAGGAATCTGACAAGAAAATTCGACATCACAAACTTTGCATGGATATATTTTCAAGATCTTGTATAGAAAAGTACAAACACTGTTCTAAAGTTGAGACAAAATATGGTTTTAAAGTCCCTGCGGTCAAACAAATTTACACAAAACCCACAACATCACAGACTATCTGGGGCAGTAAAGAACTAAGAAACCCAATAATTAAATAATATCGGACAATCTCTCTCCAATCACATCTCAGAACTAGTAGGATTGGGATTAAAAACTCGCATAACTCAAGTTTATAAGACTGCCATTCACAGGCTTCGTACACATTTCTGCACCTGGAAATCAAGTACTTTTAAGGACCATTAATGAAAAAAATTAAGGACCTGTCAGCAAAAGGGAACTGAATAAGTTCAATTAAAGATATTATCTATGTCTGAACTTAAATTTGTAATACCGTCCTAAGAATAAAAGAAATCTGAAAGCAGGATGCATTATGATTAAACGTAATTTAATAAAAATAATTATAAAACAAATTCGAGAATAAAATCAACTTTATAAAATTTATCAAGTACATTAAATATTTTACACTAATAATAGTTGGACATATTTGAAAGAAGATTAGTGACATTTTATTTATGCTTTACTAACAGTTAGTTTTATGTTGACTTTTTCTTTTATTCCTTATTTTGTTACATATTTGCTCAGTCTAGAGATTTAGTAAACAGCGGGTAGATTTTATGTCAAATGGCATAGGTTAAAATGAGGAGTAAAATTATAATCAGCTTAACTGGTAACAGGAGACTGACTGCTGTTACCACTGCTGCTTGCCTAGAGAGAGACCTGCTGATTAGAACAGACCTGAAAGTTTGATGTAGGCACGGTTGGCAAGTTTTGACAGTTAGTTACACTCTATCTGTCTAATGCAGTTAGTATCATAGCTTTCTGTAGAGTTCCTAGGGTTGTAACCCAACTAATATACTTTAAGGTTCCGATAAGCTACTAAAGCACCTGAGGTGATAAGTTGTTTTTTATTACTTTAAGTCTCCCTAGCTGCAAAGAAAAAGTTTTACATTCATTTTTACATTTGTCTGCTGTATCTTGTGATCACGTTAAGGATTAATGAAAGGCAATAAC